ATTAACAAATTTAGAGAGAATTGAGAATATTGGAAAAAAATGAAGAATGATGGAGGGTATTTATAATTTAGAATTAGGGCCAAAGTGTAATTTGGTAAATTTGGGGGTTTAAAATAAAAACTTGAGGGGGTTGGGCCTGTTTTGGTCGCTTCCAACGACTATTTTTGCAAATCAGCTATCCTCCCCTCCCCTCCCCCCCCCCCCCCCCTCCTCAATAATCATGTGTGCTATCGGGACAGTAATGGGTTTGGACCGGCTGAGATGCCGGGCCCAAACCCCAACACTGTTCCACCCCACCTAAACCCTAAACCCATCCCGCATCCTGAACTGGTACTAGGATGGACAAGCACTAGACCGGGCCGTTTCAGGATTTCCTGCCCCATTAACCACCCTTAGTTGGTTCATATTAATTTGACACGTTTCATTTTTGACATTCTGAAATGTTTGACACTTACATTTCTAAACAATATTCAAGAATTCAGATTCATAAAATTGTTTGTAGTTCTTACTTTGTAGTGATATTTCATCTGTCAAATTGACTTTTCTACATTGCTTTTGTTACAAATGAACTTACACTCATTCTTAAGTAATGTACATAACTCATATATAGATAGCAAATTTGTAAGGGTCTCTTCTATTTCTTTCTTTGGTTAGCTCATGATATACATGTAGTTATATTGCTTACCAATTTGAATAATACTACTAGTTATACTCTCTATATTCTCTATATTCCATGAACATGAGAGTCAATTCCATCTCTGTTTGGGCTCCTGGTTCATGCTCTAGTTGGGCCTGGGCGTGAAGAGGGTGTTAGAGTCTCACATTGGTTGGAAAATCGACCGATGGTTTATTTGGATGTGGATAATCCTCACCTCATTAGATAGCTTTTGAGATTGAGTTAGGCCCAAGTGTCATATCTTACGACTTTAATATTTTTCTTTTGCTATCACTAATATACTCCTGTTTCATTTTATCTGTCTTAGTTTGACTACCCCTAGAGTTTAAGAAAGTATGGAAGACTTCTGAATCTTGTAGTTTTAGATTGTTTATATTGTGACAAAATGTCCCTTGATTATTGTGGTCTTAAACATGTCAGGTGGGTAGTTGGAATTAAGGAGTCATTATCAATACAAAAAGTAATATTTTTATAGACAGACTAAAAAGAAAAATATGACACATAAAGTGAAACAGAAGGGGCGATGTATAAGTAACAACATACCCAGTGAAATTCCACTAGGTGGGGTTTGGTAAGGGTAAAGTGTATGCAAAACTTGCCACTACCTCGTGGAGGTAGATAGGTTGTTTCCGAAAGGGCAATGTATGAGTGAAAGTAGCATTTTAAATTGTTTCCAATCAAAATACCTTGGTATAAAATTAAAGCGGAGGGAGTAGCTCTTTAGGTACTTGAGTTACTTTGATGATTTTGTGCTCCATAGACTACTCTGAGCAGAATTTTTCTGGGTTTCAAGGTCTGGGGGGTGTAGGACTCAACCTCAAAAGTAGACCTAAACTATGATCACACAAGGTTGCATGCCATGTTTCATAAAACATAATGATGGTAATGTAATGCTCACGAAGTATGAGGGGAGGACTAGTTTACAATTGCAATGGGTTGTCAGATGCTTGAGTGGCAACTGTTTTGGCTCTAAATTCATTTGTGAATACAAGTACCAGACTAAATTGGACAAGTAGGAAGTCCAAACACAAATTATTTGGTTTATACACAAAGACTGCTATGGCTGACTCACATGCCTTACTACACTACCTTTTCCCTATTCTCTGTTTTAGACTCGATTAACCGTGTCTAATTTTAACTCGTCTATCTAATGTTGCTTTTGTAGGTGTTAGGGCTAGTGCAGAGAAATTCATTGAAGAAACATGTGCGATGAATATAAATCGACTTATGTCAAACAAGTCTCGAGCGATTAATAGGAGTTCTCTGTCTGAGCTTTTCATCTCATTCATTGCAAAGGTAGTAATTGGTTTAGGACTCTATTGTCTGTTGTGTTTGTCATATGATGTTGAACCTATTGACTGTTTTGATATTTTCTTTCTATGATTATTTATTACAATCCTGAAAATGATTATTTTTGTAACAGTGTTGTACGAAAATTAACTTCATTACTCTTATGTAGTTCTGCGACATCAGTTCAAGAGCCTCTGCTCAGGGAATTAGCCCATTTACTGGCCAGTGGGAAGACATTGTGAGCAACATGAGATGGCTGCCTAAAACATATACAATATTTGTAAATCTCTCTCTCTCTCTCTCTCTCTCTCTCTCTTATGCGCGCACACACATACCAAATACCCACACCCTTTTTCCCATCAAAGCTGCTGCAGGTCTATACCTTTTTTAATTTATTATTATTATTATTATTATTATTTATTTTGACGTTCAAGTTACTGTGTCCAGGTTGAGGATCCCTTTGAGCAGCCACTTAATTCAGCAAGGGGTGTATGCACTAAACAACTAACAAGAATAGAAGAAGCATTCAGGAGTACCCACTTTATGCTTTGTTCATCGAATCAAAATGAGAATGAAATTATTTCTACTCTTGTTAAGCCACATGTATCGAAGTTTGTGGCAAGAACATCTGGAAACCAAAATAACTACAGTAGAAATGGCCTTCGGCCACAATTGCAAGCACAGAGAGCTATAAAGCCACCATTTCAAGCACATCATCAGCGTCAGGCCCAGAGAGTTATACATCCACCATTACGAGCACAACATCAGCCTCAGGCACAGAGACCTATCAATCCCCCATTACAAGCTCATCAGCTTCAGGACAAAAGGGTGAATAGGAATCAGAATTCAACGGCGCAGGGACCCACACAAGCTATTCGTGTTCAAACACAGACAGTATGGAGGCCAAAATCAGACGGATAGGGGTGTGAATTTGGACTTGTGCTGCTGAAACTAAGCATCCATTCAAGTGCTTTTACTTCTTTTTTTTGGGTGGTTATGGGGAGGTAATGATAGCTTGGGTCCGGTGAGACTATTGAGTCTATTTGCCAATTTCAGAGAAAGACAATTGTCCTCGAGGACATCCTATAAAATTGGAACGATATAGAGAAGAAAACACTTGATAATATATATTGCTATGTGCTGATGCAATGCATATATTCTCTTATAGGCACCTCCCCTCTTGGCATGTTTGAAATTATTATGGTAGTAGTATGTTATACAATGATCAAATTGAAATGTATAAGTAAGATTAAATCCAGCCATAGAATTATTGCAGGATATTTCACGACTTGTCCTAAACCGTAGGTAAATGTAGTCTAATTCAGTACCTTGTTTGCGATGCAACTAAGATCAATTTATTTTAACTTTAGCCTTAGGTTGAATAGCGATAGAGAAAGGAGATAAAAGTTCAGATTTGTGGCTCATACAGTATGTTAGAAACACCACTGAAAAAGAGAGTTCATTGCAATTCAATATTTCTCCTATGACCTCTAAAATGAATGCCTCAGGACCCTAAATTTATTAAAAATTTGTAGATCACATGATTTGTGGTTATACACAACCATCATCTTCTAATTAACAAATTACAAGACGAGTTCTTGTGGCTTTTTCCATAAATTGAGATGTGCATTATCCTAATGTTGGTCAACACAAACATGATAAATACTTTGTCCCTACAGATAAATCTAACTTCAGTACATCCTCTACAAGTGAACTTAGAAAGAGATGGTGACATTATAAACGCAATTGATGAAGTAGCTTTTGTGCCGGTTTATCTATATTGGTATTATACTTCCTCTATTTCGATTTGTTTGTCTGGTCTTGACTTGAATACAGAGTTTAAAAAAGTAATTACTTTTAAATCTTGTGCTCTTAAACTAAAGATATGCATAATATACCAAATTTTGTGGTCTTCAACATGCCATGTGGAAAGTTAAAATTTAAGAGTTGCTAAAAAATGATCGAAACACTTTTTGAAACAGACTAAAAAGGAAAGTAAGACAAACAAATTGAAACAGAGTGAGCACTAGATCGAGGCGAGGAACAATGTATATTTTAGTATTGAGAACACAAATAAAGGAGACATGATTAAACTTAATATTAATATAATATGCGAGAAAATAGTCAAAAGCCCCTCTAATCTATTGTCGGATTCTCAACTACACACTCATACTTTACGGGGTCCTATTACCCCATTGAACGGTTTAAAAATACTCCCTAATTGCTTATCTGGCAAAGTGAGTGTATTTCACTCTCTCTAGGAGAGTGATCAACAAAAATAATTATTACAAAAAGTTTATTTTTAATTATTTTCATAAACATATGTATTTTTATTTATTTTTTCTTATTTATTTTCTTTCTTCCCCAAAACAATATGGACCTCCACCATTCATCAACCTTAAGCAACCATCGTCGCAATCGAATTCACCATTGTTAGTTTCAAGCTCTAATGTAAAATACTTGCAAAATCAATTAAATCCACTAAAAATAAAATGTCAACCATCTTCAATCACCCCAAAAGACTTCAAATCAGATTTGAGAAAAATCAATTTGGGTTCACATAAATGTAATTGAACCCCCAAAAAGTTATTATCATTTTCAAATCTCTTGATTATAAAATAAAATAAAATAAAAAAGCACAACACAGATTTGCAAGACGTTGCACTGAGCTATGAATGTGGCTAAATCATTCCAAGTCTAATTAAAGAAAAAGAAAGTCCTTTGATGCTCTGGGTGTCAGAATGTAGGTGAATTGAACCAAGAAAATGAAAGATTATGTTGATTTGGCTACAGTATTTGTAAAATACTCCCAAGCACACTATCACAATCATTAACCCGAGCATCTTCTCCCAATTAAGTTCTTTTTTTTCTTTGGTGGTGAAATCAAATTGATTTGTGATGGTTTTGATGGTGGCTTGAATATTTATTTTTCGAAGCTTTATTCTTAGGAAAAGATGGTGTTGGTGTATATGCATTTTATTATTAAAATAAAATACTAAGTGCATATGTTAGTGGGTATAAATTATGATAGAAGATGACTATTGGTTGTTGTAACTTATATGACCATTACTTCTTGTAACTCTCATGGTCATTAGTGTCTTGTAACTCATATGACCATTAGTTGTTGTAACTCTCATGGTCATTAGTTTCTTGTAACTCATATGACCATTAGTTTCTTGTAACTCATGTAACATCTTCCCACATTACTACCCCTCATTCCACCCATTGATTATATGGAAGACTTCTTCACCTATAAATAGTGGTGTTTCTCCCTTTGCGAAGTATCCCAAGTAAGAAGTGAAATAATCTCAAAAAGATGAGAAGTGTGAAATAATATTTTAATGTGTAGTAGTGAAAGAGAGTTGAGACATAGAAAAATATTCTAAGTCTTCAACTATATTCACTATATACAAGAGAGTATTTATATGTTGAAGGAAGATGTTCTTTTGTGGAGCTTTGGACTCTTCAACTAATCCGGAGTTGTTTGAGTTGTACGACGTTGTTGGGTTGTTGTATCATGGAGGGGACAAGTCAAGAGTATTACTATTGGATCGGTGTAGATTATGCCGCATTGGGCTTGAATCTCCTTAAAGAGAACGAGATATCCGTGTCCCAGCCTAAAAATTTGTTTATTCATTTTTATCATTTTATTTTCAACTGTAATATTTTGTATTTGTGGTATATTATACCAACAGATGATAAAGAGATTTTGAATAGGTGAAGAAGGTAATGGTAAAGGTGGGGGAGATTATAAAGGCAGAGGTAGAGGGGTGGGGGGAAGACCCTAATGCATTCACCAATGTTTTCCCCAAAATCAATTTTTGTAAAAAATTAGGGTTGAATAAATGGTTAAAGAGGAAAGAAAGAAGATGAAGGGGAAAAAAAACTAAAAAAATAATAATAATTAACTAGTTAAATACACGTGTCAAGTGTGTGTGTTTCACTACAAGGCACATATCTGGTTATGATGTTTTAAGAGGTTATATATTTCACTTTTAAAATGTTTAGGGAGGTAATAGGACCCCCGTAAAGTATGAATGTGTAGTTGAGAATCCAACCATAGATTAAGAGGCTTTTGGCCATTTTCTCTATAATATGCCTCATAGACCATAGTATGTTGAGTAAATAACTTAAAAGGTCACTCAACTTTGAAAATTTGTCTCATAAAGTCATTAAATTTATTTTGTATCAATAAAATCACTCAACTTAGATCTTTATATCAATAAGATCACCCAATTAAAGTTATTATTTAAAAAAATTGACATAGCAAAATAAATCATTATTTATGCCATGTAAATATAAATTCCACAAATAAATAAAATTAAAGAAAACTCATTCAAAAAAAGTTTATGAATAAACTTAATCCGTGAAATAATTTTATAATTTTATTATGTATTTACAATTTAAATGATGTTATTCTTTATGATATTATCCTTGACTTAATGACTGTAACAATCTTTTCATAAGATGTCAATTTTTTTAGGGAAAATTACAGAAATCACATATTTTTAAGGTAAAAATTGCAATTTATTCCTTAAAAGTTTATAATTACCGAAATCCCTCAAACGGAACAATAATATAAGCGCTGATACATTAATCTGATGCGCAAGATACATTAATCGTTAAGTAAGATACATTACATTTTATACATGATACACTAATTTGATGCGCCAGATACATTAATCTGATGCGCGAGATACACTAATGTGATGCGCGAAAATGAAGGATTTTGGAGATTTGTAAAACTTATAGGGAATAGTGGTAATAAGTAAACTAAAATGTGAATTTCTGTAATTTTTCCATACTTTTTTATACTGCAGCAATTGTGGAAGACTCTCTTCGGTTTGACTTTGATAACAGGATTCATTGTGCTGAAAGTGGTGAAGAAAGCACAGAAACAGAAACCGTCTATTCCCTTAAATGCCACATTTCGCAGGAAGTTAATCATTTGCACGAGGGTTTGAAGTGTGATCTGAAATCGGAACTGGAGAAGGCATCTCCTTCACTTGGACGCAGTGCAGTTTATGTGAAAGACTCCCGAATCAATGGTTTGCCAAGATACTTGACCATTCAGTTTGTCCGTTTATTCCGGAAAAGGGAATCAAATCAGAAGGCAAAGATTTTACGGAAAGTGGATTACCCATTGTCGTTGGATGTATATGATCTTTGTTCAGATAACCTTCGCAAGAAACTGGAAGGTCCTCGCCAGGTTTTGAGGGATGCAGAAGGTAAGAAGGCTGGTTTAAAAACCAGTGCAAAAACTCCAGTCTCAACTGACAGCGACACTAAAATGACCGAGGCTGAGGAATCATCTAGTGGAAGTGGAGAAGCATCTAAATCTACATCCCAAGAAGGTGTTCTGCCTGAGAAGGAACACCAGTTGACTGGAATATATGATTTGGTGGCGGTGCTGACTCACAAGGGAAGAAGTGCCGACTCAGGGCATTATGTTGCCTGGGTCAAGCAAGAGAACGGAAAGTGGGTTCAATTCGATGATGACAATCCAATCCCGCAGCGAGAAGAGGACATCACTAAACTCTCAGGGGGTGGTGATTGGCATATGGCTTATATTTGCATGTACAAGGCCCGTGTTGTTCCCATATGATTTGAAGTATTTGATTGGGTTGGTTTCACATATTGGACACTGATGTACTCGAGTTGGTCACATTATACATGATTATTCTGGTACTTTTACGTACATTTAGCATTGAGTTGCACTTGAACTGCCTTGGAAATTCAGCGGGAGAGCTTTTCAGACTTATTGAATGGTGGATTCAGGCAATATAGACTATTCCATCCGACTAAAAAAAGTAAAAAACATTGCAGTTATTAAGCCAATTATTTGTAAGGACAATTTTTACGGGTCCTTTTTTTTTGGGTAGAAATTTGAATATATAGTAACACCATAATATAATTTTCACTAATTAAGTTTATCCTTGAATTTTTTTTGATGAGTTTTCTTTGATCTTTTTTATTTGTAGAGTTCATATTACATAGCATAATAACAAATTATTTTGCTATGTTAATTTTTAATAATAAATTTAGTTGAGTAATATTATTGATATAAAAATCTAAGTTGAGTGATTTTATTGATATAAAAGTCTAAGTTGAGTGATTTTAGTGATACAAAATAAAGTTCAATGACTTTACTAGATTCATTCTCAAAGTTGAGTGATCTTTTGAGATACTAACTCTAGTATGTTACATTCAATTTGCGGAATATTATCCCGGGAGCCTGCTAGAAAGGCTAAAAAAAGACATCGTAGTTGGTCACATATATGTATAAGATATGTTTGCATTGGCCTGAAAGCTTAATTCTGGACTTGGTCAATAAAAGTAGATTTTTTCCACGTTGAAAAGAACAATCCAACAGATAGTAAAGAGAAGAATCTATCAGTTGCCCCCAAAAGAGAAGATAAAATAGCACATTAATTTGGAGATAAACTATTTGGATTGAGGAAAATCTAATTGTGTGGATTCTTTAGGCATAACTTTCTGTGAAGGACAAGGAAGATTTAAAAAAGATAGTATGAACAGACTTGAGAGATTTATTCTCACGGGATTTTCTTATATTGTTTGTATTGCTCTACCAATTACAACAATTATTCTCTTGTAAGTCTATGGAGTAGGGGTGAACATCGATGTTGGTTCGGGTTTTTTCAAAGAAATTTTTTTAGGAATAACAAACATAATAATCATATTAGTGTTTTATAGCCACATTTTTGCTAATTGCCTTGTCACGACCCAGAGGTACACCCTAGATGTAACATGGTGTGCAGGATCCCAAGAGGCCCCATACAGGCCACTTAGCATTCATAACATTAAAAAATAAAACAAAAGAGATAAAGACAACATTTCAAGTCCAAATCATTTTTATAAAAGTAAAGCGGAAGTTTTAAACACTTATATCATTAGCCATCTAGTACAATAGAATGAAATTGGGTCTAGCCCATACATTATGTCCAAAACTGAAAGTAAGAAAGAAACGAAAACAATGAGAATCTGTCCTCAAAGCATGAGGACTCACCAAAGCTCGAGAATCTCGCAAATCAACCTCTATCCACGAAACTGAGAACCCTGACAGTCGGACCCTACATAGGGGAAATGTAGACAAGAGTATGTGTTAGTACAAAAAAATGTACCAAGTATGATAGCTATGCATAAAATATTTAAATCATGCTAAAGAGGGACATTTTCATAAGTATGCAATGATCAAGCTAAAACATGTATCTTGAGAGTTAGAAACCATAAGTCATAAAACCATGATCAATGCAATTGAACATCATCTTAAAGCATACTTACGATACTTCCTTGAAGTAACCTTGGTTCATAATAACTTTGCTTATTTGTGGGAGATAGCCTTAACCGACATATAAGACCATGTGAGCTATCAACATGGAATTCGGTGTCTACCCCACACCGAAAAGGGGTGTCCTTTTTGCCAAGGAAGGACCATGAACTTCTAGCTATTGTGGGTCCACTAGTTAATGTCTATCTAGACAATCATCCTATGGGGGCACATATGTAAGGGATAAGGAGATTGCTACTAGAAACTCGACCTCTACTAACATGAGAGCCTCCATCTCAGTATCCTCTCGGTGCTAAGCCTAATTCCCACAGAGTAGTCATTTTCTTAACTTGTTCTTATTATCCATGGAAGGGAACGTCATCTTGCCAATCCAAGCTAATTCATATGTCATCCATGGAAAGGTATCATTCAATAACCAATCCAAGCTAGGTAATGTGTCATCCATGGAAAGGTACAATTAAGTAACCAATCCAAAATAGGTCTTATTAGAATAACTCCTCAGATCTTTGATTCATAGTTTAGTTGAGAAAACCTTTCAACCCTAAGAATCCTTTATATGAGAATGTCCTTTCACAATCATACTTTAATATGTTTATGAGAAATCCTTTCAACAACACTACAACATCATCATCATTGACACTTCACTCTCTAAGCATCCTTAAAATATTTACATAAACCTCATAAGGTCATGCTTAATTCATAATCTCCTCTTTCATAATTCAAAACCCACATCACATCATCATAATTGGAAAACATGGGATTTACATGGGTTCATGTGGGAATCATCACAAAATCATAGTATTTCATCAATTCATGCATAAGAGATCATAATTCAATCATTTAAATCAATAATCAAGAGAACCCATGACAATTGAAGAAAACCCTAACTCAATTGAGGATTTCTAACTTTGAAAATAGGATAATTTGGGAATTATGAATGGAAGGAATCCATGGATGAAAACTATCATACATTACTATCAAAGCCCAAAAACAATTGAAGAATGAAGGCTTGATCTTGAACCCTAGCTTGAACCTTCTTCTTCAACCTTCTAGAGAGATAAATATCTTTGGGAGAGAAAGACTCAACTTTTTTTGGTGAATTTGAAAAGAATGAAGTGAATGAATTAACTTGGGTTAAAATCACTTATATTGGGGTCTTAGGCATGGGGAAAATGATATAGTAATAGGATAAAATAATTAGGAAAAGACCCAACTGCCCCTAAAAATAACTGTCGACCCACTATCTACGAGCCTTGACCGACGGACCGTGGTTTGACTGACGGTCCATCCTGTACGTCTGTCGTCTTCATTAGAGACTGAAATTTTGAGGTCATGACCTATGGAACCTCATCCATGGACCGTGGACCCTACGACGGTCCGTTGGTCCAGGTCGTGGTTCTGGGATTTTTGAACATTTTTGGGTGACCAATCCACGGACCAGACCTATGGTTCATGGTTCAGTCCACGGGCCGTGGTTGGTCTCCGTTGGATGGCACCAGGTATTCCTGAAAACAAAAAAATTGTTCTTTCTCAAATCCGAGGTGTTACAGCGCTCCATAGCCATTTTTTCATTTTCTATGGAGCCTTTGATCTATATAAATCACGAATTACATTAAATTTGTATACAATTTAAAAATAAACAAATTAACTAAAAAGGCGCTACTCTATTACCAAAAAGGAAAATATTCTCATAATTGACTGTAGCACCTCATAGCCAAGGAGGGAAGTTTAGCATGTTTTGGAGTTCCAAGTGTTACTCACGAGGTCACCCACACCACGTGGTTAGACCCACGCCCCGTAGGTGGGCAGCGTGGGTGGACACCAAGAGGAAACTGCCCAAGGAAGTGACCTGCAGCAGGACTCATGCCTCGTGGATGGGTCCAAACCCCGTAGGTGGACTCCGTAGGTCAAAAGCCAACATCTAGGGTTGCAGACCCCAAACCACGCCCAACCAGGATGGGCCATCGGTCAACGTACACCCTGTGGTCGGGGTTTCGTGGATAGGGCAGTGAGGTCGGTTAGTAAGGACTTAATGGAACTTTCCAGAATTAAACTAAGAATTAAGTGACATCATTTTAGTCTAATCTAGACTACCTATATAGAGTTTTAGACCCCTTAATTAAGTCATCATAAATCATTATTTCAAGACCCCCAAAAGAAACCCAATTCCCTCTCAAATATCGTCTCTCTAGAAAGAATAAAAAGAAGAAGAAGAGGGTCAAGATAGGTCAAGTCAAGACTCGATTGTATCAAGCTTGGTAGTCTTTGTAATCAAGGTATGATATCTTATTCATTCATGTATTCCTTTCATCCATGAATCCCCCATGTTTTCCCCAATTTAGAAGAAGAATTCCCCAAGTCTAACTAGGATTTCTTCTAATGTTATGGGTTATGATCCAATAGAGTAGATTATGATTGTTTATGGTTTTTTATGATGGAATGTCATGTTTAGTATGATTATACATGTATTCATGCTTAACCTATGATTCTAGGGTGAAATTGATGTAGTTGAGTTTTATGCCATGAAAGGGGAAATTGAGGGCTTAGATGTGATCTTCTAGGATTGATGAATTACAACATAGATCACTTGAAATTGAAGTAAATAGATATGAATTTGCTTAAGAGTAAAGCTTATAAACATGAATTGACTAAGATCAAGTATGTATGATGAACTATAAATGGTAAGGCTTGAGATTAGGATTTCTTTGAGGCATGAATGATGACTGATCATTGTTAGGGATTTTAGAATAAAGCTTATATGTTGAATTGTGACTGAGGCTTGAGAGTAAAACCTATGTTATTGACTTTTATATGGTATTGTTGTGGAAAGAGTTTACCCACATGACATGTATTATGAATGTAAGATATTATGCATGTTCTTATGAAATCTTTGTAAATGCCTTAATTACACTTTGAGAGTAAACTGTTAATAACTACAATAATATGGTTGTGGTGATTGAAAGGACATTATCATGGACACCTAATGAACATGATGTGAAAGGTTTCCTCACATAATGAAGATTCTAGGTTGAAAGGCTTTCTCACCTAAATGAATCTAAGACTACATGTAGACATGGATGGTGAAAGGTTTTCTCACGCATGATCTAATGAACTAAAGCATGTAAGAACTATGTTAACTTGAAGTGGTGATGTGATTTCCCTTCATGAATAGCTTGACTTGGTAAGATAAGACCATACATGTTAGCTAGAGATAGTATAGCTCATGGATAGACTTGGATTGAGAAATCGTACCCTTCCAATATAGCTTGAACTTGAATAATAGAATGTTTGCATGATAGCTTGACTTGGTGAGGACACACCACTTCATGATAGCTTGGATTGAGAAATAGTACCCTTCCTTGAGTAGCTTGAACTTGCATGAGAGTGTGTTTTCCATGATAGCTTGGTCTAGCATAAATAAGGTGTTTTTTCCTTAATAGCCTTAAATTGGTAAATCATAACCATTCATGAGTGATGATGTGTTGCGGA